AATAATAATAATAATAATAATAATAATAATAATAATAATAATAATAATAATAATAATAATAATAATAATAATAATAATAATAATAATAATAATAATAATAATAATAATAATAATAATAATAATAATAATAATAATAATAATAATAATAATAATAATAATAATAATAATAATAATAATAATAATAATAATAATAATAATAATAATAATAATAATAATAATAATAATAATAATAATAATAATAATAATAATAATAATAATAATAATAATAATAATAATAATAATAATAATAATAATAATAATAATAATAATAATAATAATAATAATAATAATAATAATAATAATAATAATAATAATCAAAGACAGTGCAAATGCAGTCATAGGTGTTTGCAAGCAAATTTCTAGGTAATGAATGTGTGTCGATTGCTACTGTCAGGCAACACTATCCCAACAGCAAGGAAACTTTGGCCTTCAACTGTGATCATCCCTGCCCGTCTGCTTTGCTGGCTGGTACTCATAGGAGTTGGGATCTCACTACCCATGGAGGGCTGCAGGCTCCCTACCTCCAATCTGCCTAGCAGGTTTGCAGGGGTCTGCTGGGCCATGCCCCACCATGCCTAAGGCTGAGCCAAATCGGATCTTGCAAAAAGAAGGTGGGGAATACTGATAAACAACCATCCTTTAAGATGCACTTAATATGACAAGCATACTGGGTGCTGTACAGCATTGATACAGCTTCTGCTTAGACAGCTTATGTCTACGTGAAAAAGGACAGAGTGAAAGAAAATGCTGTAAAAAAGAGGGAATATCGGAGGGGAAGGGAAATGAATGGGGCAAGGTTAACTGATCAAACCATGAAACAGGAATAATAAGGAAACAGAGGATGTTGCTTATGTTGACTCAGCAAACTACTGCTGCTTCTGATCAGAGATAATAATAATAATAATAATAATAATAATAATAATAATAATAATAATAATAATGATGATGATGATGATGATGATGATGATGATGATGATGATGATGATGATGATGATGTGCCATCAAATCAATCCTGATTTATGACAACCTTCTTCAGGGTTTTCCAGGTAGAAAACCCTGGACTGAGGTTGAATCCGGACAACATGGAAATCTTGCGCATGGGCGGCCCTGGCATCAGTGGGATGGGAAACTCCCTCTCCTTTCGGGGAGTGACTCTTCCCACGAAGAATGAGGTTTGCAGATTGGGCATCTGCCTGGACCCATATCTCACCATGGAAATTCAGGTGACATCTATGGTACGAGCAGCCCATTTCCAGCTTCGGAGGATTGCCCAGCTGTGTCCCTATCTAGACGTGGGGGCACTCACGACGTTGATTCATGCCCTCATGATCTCAAGAATAGACTACTGCAGTGCTCTCTATGTAGGGCTACCCTTGAGGCTGATGCAAACTTCAACTCGCCCAAAATTCAGTGGCCAGATTAATAACTGGGGTGAAGAAATTCCAGCACATATCCCCTACTCTGGACACCCTTCATTGGCTACCGGTTCGTTTCCACATTGGCTTCAAGGTTATGGCAATAACTTTCAAAGCCCTAAAGGGTTTAGGATCTTGGTACCTATCAGAATGCCTGCTCCCAGCCAGATCTGTCCGTAATACCCATTCTTCACAGGCAGGGC